ATGGATTCATGCACAGGAACGGTTACTCCAGGTGTAATGCTGATCATTGCTGTTTTGTCAAAGAGTTTGACAAGAGTTACATCATCCTACTCCTATATGTCGACGACATGCTAGTAGCCGGTTCAGATATGACAGAGATCAAGAAACTGAAGAAGCAGCTGTCGAGTGATTTCGACATGAAGGATCTAGGCGCAGCGAAGCAGATATTGGGAATGAAGATCAGTAGAGATAAACTCTTGGGCACACTACGACTATCTCAGGCCGAGTATATTCGACGGGTGCTTGAGAGATTCGGGATGAGTGGTGCTAAGGCCGTTAGCACACCGTTAGCCAGTCACTTCAAACTGACTAAGGAGCAGTGTCCTGAGACTGATGAAGAGAAAGAATACATGGCTAAGGTTCCATATGCTTCAGCCATTGGAAGCCTTATGTACGCCATGGTATGCACGAGACCCGACATTGCCCATGCAGTGGGAGCTGTGAGTAGATTTATATCAGATCAAGGAGAGCAACACTGGGAAGCAGTAAAGTGGATTCTTAGATACTTGCGAGGTACTATAGAAGATTGTCTATGCTTCAGAAGAGGCAAGTTAGTCCTGCAGGGTTTTGTTGATGCAGACTATGCTGGTGAGATAGACCAGAGAAGGAGCACTACAGGATATGTATTCACTTTGGGCTCTACAACTATTAGTTGGGTTTCTCAGTTGCAGAAAATCGTTGCTTTATCAACGACAGAGGCTGAATATGTTGCTGTGACAGAGGCGAGCAAGGAGATGATATGGTTGCAAGGTTTCTTGGAGGAGCTGGGACAGAAGAGTGAGAAGAGTGTCTTACATTGTTATAGCCAGAGCACAATTCATTTGGTGAAGAATCCCGCTTTTCATGCAAGGACCAAACACATACAGGCCCGCTTCCACTTCATAAGATCAGCGTTGGACGAGGACATGTTGGAACTTGTGAAGATTCAAGGAAGCAAGAACCCAGCTGATATGCTTACCAAGGTTGTCACTACAGAGAAACTGAAGTTGTGCTCAACTTCAGTTGGCCTCAGCACTTGATGATACGGAGGCCGTCGCCACAGAGAGAGCTGAAAGAGATTGATAGTTAGTCTCCAAGTGAGAGATTGTTAGGATATGTGAAGCCTAACTATCAGGCATGTCCTACACTTCAGAATGAAGAGGAACAAAGTTGGAACAGGATGAACAGGATCGACGATGGCGAAGTTCAA